GTCCAAAAAAGGACACGAAAAGTTGACGTGTGGGATGTCATGTTTTTACATTTCGGACATTGGACAAAACAATTAAATATTGTAACCAGCAAACGGCCTCAAACCGTAAAAAAATTCAACGTTGGAGGACACGTATTGAGAACATTTGGGTTTTCTTTAATTTACGGTATAATATAGTATAAAACATCTACCATATCCATAATAATGTTCTACCACTGCACCTAATAACAGCAGAAAAAAGCAAATCACCAAAGATTCGCACAATATGACAAATTATTTATAAATCAAAAACAGTATATTTTCTGTGCCAGTAGTTATTGCGTGATTGAACTTCAAACAAACACACAAACTTTCACATTTATAATATTAGTAAGATAAGATGTATTAATTAAATATTAATTACTAGCTGTGTGCCTGTTCTGTGTGCACGGGGATCCTCTAGTGGTCAGTTGAAACCTTCCTTAATAAAGAAAAACTATTGGTTTGCATATTTTCAGATATGCTGGCCAAACTATTATATACAAACAAATACAGTATCTGACAGTTTCAAGTAAAAAAAAAAAATGCGTAATAGATCTATGAGGGGTACACTTCCATATCTGTTGGCACAAACAACTAAATGAGTAATATTGATTATTCGATTGTTTAATTCTATAAATCGTTTGGTTAGTTAGGTTAGGTTAACCTTACCTAACTAACCAAACGATATATAGTTAAAATACTATACCTCAACCTCGCCATTAAACATTCAGGTTGGAAATTTCACTATCAAAGGTGCTCTTGTCCTGTCCGTACGGAACACTGAGTAATATGCGCTACCAACTTATGAATAATTGTTTAAGCCTACGAACCCAAGAGATGGATAATTGGTCTGTTGGACGTATGGTCCAGCGAGCAGCACATAGCGTTGAGAAGATACATTAGAAATACGATTTGAGCATAATCCGTAAACCTCTGTTACAATCACCCACTGCAGTTGTCTCTAAACACTTTACACAACCACCACTGAAGTGCCGTCAACGAGTTGAAACCACGAGTTGAAACCTTATATGTAAGCTATTGGTAACGCTTAAGTAAAAAATGTAAATTTCCCAGGCATATATAGAACACTGAGTTAATGTCTTTTCCCCGGTTATCAACACAAAACTCAATAGAAATTGTATACACAAAGAAGCTCTATTTTCATTTACGGTTACCCTACACATTATTGCACTTGCGATTAATTAAATCCGTTATGTAAGGAAAAACGGTTTTAATCCAACTTGGTTTGGATTTGCTTTTGAAACTTGATCTGAAATGATTGCGGTATTTGTAAACAATACTCAATGTAAACATATCAAAAAAATAATCTTGATCCGAACAGCTGTTCGCTATTTCATATGATGATTATGTGATAAACATTGTGAGAAAACTTGACAAAAATCGCACAAAATTGGGTTTTAAACGTCCGTAAGTTTTTTTTACAAAGTAGTGAGGCCATATTTTAATAGCTAAAGACACTTTCGCCAATCCAGTGAATACATTAAAATGATTCGAGGATCTTGATAGGTACTCTCGTTTTTCAGGAGAAGGCCGCGTAAAATGGGCTTTGGACCGTGACAGACGGAAGATAGACAACAACGGAATTGAGATAATAATTGATGATTGAGATAATAACGGAATTGAGATGAAACTTTTTTCGGATTCTTGAATGTTTAAAACGTAAAAATAATCTAAAAATTGATGATTCTGAGCAATGTACAGAAAAAACTCTAATTTTATTTATATAGATTAGTACCTGTGGTGATTGTTATTAGAAATTTATTGAAGTAAATAAACAGCAAAGTTAAAAACCATCCGACCAGTGTTTTTATTTAAAAAGTACGTAGGCCTATTTGATTGGCTTTGTTTTCTGAACTAAAATATCTATTTCCTGATCTATTTTTAGTTCCTGGTTTCGAAACATAATTTGGCAAAACAATTATTTATTCATTAAACAACTTGATCGAAAAATAATTTCTAAACATTGGAGGGCAATTAAAAAACTTTTGAATTCTAATAAACCTAGCTGCCGTATCTGTGTTTTACATCGGAGAGGATTTTGAAGAGAAAAAGTTTGATACACGTCACATATTTCAAATTCCACTCCAAACACGACATGTTAATACGTTTACTTCCTTAAATTAAGAAAGTCACAATCTCCAATTAACAGGCCCGTAGCAAAAGTTAAAAGTTTCACAAATCGAATCGTTTCTACCTTTTGGACCGCAAAATCAAAGCACTGCATTGACAGCATTTACAGCTGACTTCGTTAAACATTCTGTTATCTAAATTCTTCAAAAATGTAAACATTGTGAAACTTTGGAATCCCATGGGGCGTAACTCAAAGAAAACACGTTAAATGTAATCGGTATATTTGTTAACCAGGTACAGGGCTACCTCTTGAATTGATATAGATAATAAATCGAAAAATAAAGAAATATAAGTTTATTGATTATTGGCACTTACAAAATGGTAAACAATCAAGGAACATGATTTAATTAAGTAACCACACATCACTGAGTCTATATCTTCATTCTTTCTTGTAAAAATCGCTTTGATTGTGGCTATATAAAATAGGGAAGTAAGATTTCACTGTACAACGAGCTCAAAAAGCTCGAGAACCAGCAATAAGATGGAAATAACCGGCAGAACCCTTAACCATCCACTGGCTCGCTAGTCGCTACCCCAGGTCGGTCGGTAACCAGGTATCAATGAAACCCGTTAGGCCCGCCCCGACCTCTCGCCGCAAGAGACCCAGAATTTTGCCTTGTTCCACGCGCCTTTGATTGTTTGAGGCGGGAAAACTATTTGTGTGCTACGGCCCGCGCAACACAGGATATTGTTTTCGTATTAGTTGGCCTTTTTTCAAGATGACCGTGACCGTTAACTTATTTTATGGACTCCCTTGGAGAATAATTCAAAACTACAAAGAACATTTCTAATCCCACAGTATACTAGCTATTTAAATTATAAACACTTTGGTGTTTGAAAAATATTTTTGGACGATAAATTTTGCAGCTATTTGAAACTATCCAAGATGGCCGCTTGCCTCCAAGGACTCAACACAATAGGCCTAATTGTGCGACTATAAAGCAATTACTTCCCACCTTGTGCTTGCGAATTAGTTCGGTACATATTTGTATCCACAGTTGCCAGGACGACTATTAAGACGACCAAAGATTACATTGACATTTAGGTATTTAATCTGTAGAATAGTAATTGTTAAGTAATCTGGAAGACAACTTATTAAAATGAAGTGCGAAAGATGGGTTATGAGAGTGCTCAATGCCTGAAGCATAATCCGTTTGTTTGAGAAGCGAATTTTCAAGCTTGTAGAACAAATAAATATCACAAAGTAGAAGGGCAGGGGTGAAAGTGACTGAAGTGACAGGATACCCGGTGGATTCTCAGTGACTGGATTCCAGTGTTATGCGGTAAAATATATAGTGACTGGCTTAGCAGCACAAATTTTACGTGACTGGCTTTCCCATGCAAATGCGGTGGTGACTGCATTAGCATAGCATTTTTTACGTAATTATATTTTAGTATTTTTAAGAAAAAATGAGATATATACGTTCAGATATGTCTAGGCTTAAGATATTTACCAATATATATTATATATATATCATAGTCTTGAAATATATTGGGGGGTGCAACTGACTGACTTCCAGTGTATATTTTATGTGACTGGCTTCCCGGGCGCGGCCGTGTATATATATATATATATATATGAATTTGAACGGATGGTGTTTTTGGCCTCTGGGGACCTCAAAACAAAAAAGTAAATCGGTCCCGGGTCTAGGTCTGACCATGAGACCTACGGTAATAGCTTATTCCCTATATGGGAAATTCGCTAATATATATATAAGTCTATATATATATATATATATAAATACATATATAAAAATTTGAACGAATAGTGTTTTTGGCCTCTGGGGACATCAAAATGAAAAAGTAAATCGGTCCCGGGTCTAGGTCTTACCGTGCCACCTACAGTAATAACTACTTCCCTATAGGGAAATTCGCTAAAAGCAACTTAAGTAGAAAAATCCAAAACTTTAAGGTGGCATGTGATTTTTTCATGTTACTAGGAGGCAAAAAGTAATTGTTATTGTTTAAAAACGTCAGGGCACACTAATACAACATTTCCCAGCACTTTATCTTTACAATTCAAATCCTCCTATTGTAGTAATAAGGCATTTACTCAGTTGTTTGGCAAATTACAAATTATTAGCAATGGACATTGTCAAATGAAATAACATTGATTAAGTTACAAGATTTAAAAAACAGGTGATTTTAAAACAAAAGAAATCAAAGACAAAAAAAATATAATTCAAAATATTTTTAATCGTCACACGATTTAGAGGTCATCTTTAACAGATTGATTGGGATGCTACATGCTTTGGTCTTGGCCAAGAAACACCCACAGATATAGTTTTGTGAATATCCAATTTGAACAATGTATTTTGTAGCATTTAGGAAATGTAGACAGTAAATAGCACATTGAGAGCCGTTAGAGCATTATAAATTTGAAAAAAAAAACTGATAAAAGAAATATTTACGCCACACTACATTATTTTGATGAACTTCCCACGCAAGGATCTAGTCCAGAAAACAGCTGTTTGCCGCCAGGTTATTCAAATGGGGTTTCATTGCGTACTACTGTTCTGCAATGAGTTTTACCGGACACCAATCAGCTGTTTATACTTGTATTTGCGTGGCAATGAGTGGTTATAAACAAAAATATAGCCTCACTTAGAGGTTCTGACTAGTGATTTTTAGTCCTTTAGTTGGTGGAAATAAATAATGATTTGTACGGATTAAGTAGTAAGGCGTAAACTATCGTATGTAACTCGTCCAAAATGTGTGTACTGGACTCGTATGGTAATCCCGGGAACGGCCACACTCGTCCGGTACACACTTATTATCAGGACTAGTAACATAATATACTATTCTATTTAAAAAGTAGGCCTACTTACCATTTTTAAATCTTCTTTTAGTTTCACAGGGCTTACAACATGAGAATGAATAATATCCACCTGAAAAGAAAAAAAGTTAAATATGCAACACCATAATGCACTCCAAAATTGTTGAAAAGACCAAGCAATTAAATATGCAGTTTTGAGACTTACCACTGCCTGTATGCCGGTTCCCAAGACCAAATTAAGATGAGAATTGACGACATTGAGTGCAACTCTCTGTTGTAACCATGTAGGTTGCAGTGAATGTAGTCTCGACAAACACTCGTTCTCGTCCCAACCACCTGTCAACATGAGATATGGTTGCAGTTCAGTAAGGATCCTGTAAAACCTCTGTTGTGTACAATTACAGAGTGGCATTTGGTCCACTTGCATTAGTCTCAAAACATCTAATTTCTAAACATTTTGTTTTTCTCTCATATTGCAATTTTGTTTTGTTTAGTTGGCATCAGAAGTGAGGAGAAGCAGTTAGCAAAGTAAAACTTCATATAACATATGTTGAAGTCTCGCAGTGATTGATTGTGTTAGATTAAATCAAATACTATGCCTAAGGTAATAGCAATTCATCGGTATCGGCCTACTTCAGAGGACTTCAAGAGTAAATAAAAAGTTTAGAATACCAACCTCCATTTGACAAGAACTGTACCAATCATCTTTTGACGGAATTCATAAACTTAGCTAAAACACAAAAACATCTTACCTTTAGTAAAATTTTCAAAGACGATACGAGCAAATTCTTCACAGTCCTCATTTATTTCTGGATATTTCCATGAAGTTCTTCTAGAACTACTAAATAGGTGAACCGTTTCTGCCATCATACCAATAAGCCTCTGAAAAAAATTTGGTTTACTGAAAATTTTATGTTACGGGTGTTAATTGGAAATATGTTACGTCAATTATTTTAAAACCACTCTATCAAATCTAATTTGCTTACAGAAAGCTGTGTCCAAGTGTTTGAGTCCGTTGTTCTTAAGTAGAATTTTAACACTCTGGATTGGAAGCAATCGTCCAATAATTGTTTTACCAAAGGTTCTCTGATATCACATTCGTTTTTTAATGAACTCTTCAATCTCGAAACACAAATCTGAAAGAGCAAAACACATTTTTATCAACAACAATACTTATTTTATCATCAATCACAAACAGTATAAATAGCCTCAGTCAAAATTTATGTTTCTGGCCCCTGGACTGTATTGTTAAGACAATAATAGGTTTTACATACCACCGTCAAATAGTCCAACAATTAATATTGCTCATCAGCTTACATGTTTTGTTGCGAAGACAAGCTTTTTAAATTTTGCAACTCGTCAAAAATACTATTATAACACAAACACAAAAAACAATGAAATGGTACGAATACGGAATACACAAACATTTAGATTAAACTAGTGGAAACATATTGAAACTGACTACCATTTGGTAGATCTACAACCTGTAATAAGTGTTTTGTCATGACAAATCAAAATTCTACAGTGCCATACAAATTTTTACAAAGAAATAAAATATTTAATTTGTTTACTTCCTTAATAACACTTCATGTTAAGATACAAAAAAATCCTTAATAAAAAGTATACAAATCAAATCAAAATCTCCTTTATTCATAAATGTTCAAGTACAATGAATAGAGTCAGTGAGTCACTTATTGTCTATTCACAATATTTTAAATTGTAAAATTCCTCAAAGGAGTAAATTGCTTTTTCTACTAAGAATTTTAGTAAAATTTACTAAGGAAAGTAAAATTTCCTACTATAACATTCATTTTTTATATCTTTAGGTAAAAAATGTATATATCTAAGGCTTCTATACACTGTGTTTGTTTTCTATAATATAAAATAAAAATGTTTTTATTCTGAATGATTTACACTATCAAAAGCGCGAGTAAGATCTAGAAAAATCCCCAAAGTTTTATTTTTTTTAATCTATACTTTCAATTATTGATGTCACAAAATCTACTACACTAGCGGTTGTCGTCGACCTTCCAGCCCTAAACCCATGCTGATCTTCATCAAATAATTTATCTATATAAATAAAATTAGAGTTTTGTCTGTACATTGCTCAGAATCATACATTTTTAGGTTATTTTTACGTTTTATACATTAAAGAAGCCGAAACAAGTCTCATCTAAATTTCTGTCTGTCTGACACACTCAAGATGGCATTTTACGCAATCTTCTCCAGGAAAACGAGAGTACCTATCAAGACCCAAGTCATTTTAATGTATTCACTGGATTGGCGAGAGTGTCTTTAGCCATTAAAATATGGTCTCACTACTTTGTAATTAAAATTACGGCCGTTCAAAAATGCAGTTTTGTGCGATTTTTGTCAAGTTTCCTTCCAATTTGTATCACATAATCATCTATGAAACAACGAACAGCTGTTCGGATCAAGATTATTTTTTCTAGCTGTCACTGAAATGTTTACAAACACCACAACCATTTCCGATCACGTTTTGAAGGCAAATCCCATCCAAGTGAGATTAAAAACGTTTTTATTACATAAAGGATTTAATTAATCGCAAGTGGAATAATATAGTGAAACCGTAAATTAAATAACTAGGCATCATCCAGGTCAGGAACCAGAAATATGTGTATAAAATTGTTTTGGAGTTTTGATAACCAGAAAGAAGACATTGAATCAAGATTGAATCAGTGTTGTATACGGCTGGGAAACTTAAATTTACTAATGACCGTCGCCAATAGCTTAGAAACAATGTTCCACTCATTGACGGCTCTTCAATGAAGGTTGTGTAAAGTGTAAAGCAAAAAATTACAACTGCAGTGGGTGATTGTAACAGAGGTTTACGGATGATGCTGAACTCGATTTTCCAATGTGTCACTTTCTGTTCCTACCATTGACTATATAAAGTCAATAGTTCCTACTCACCGTGTGATGCAATCGCTGGACCATACAGCCAATAGGCCCATAGCCCTTCTCTTGGGTACGTGTGGTACGTATGCTTACCCAATTTTTTATAACAACCCTTTCGACAACGATCCTTGATACCGGTACTTTTCCATAGAATACACGGCCTACCTAGGTACTTACTCTTTACTTTACTCTTTACTCCCAGGGCCATGCATATCTAAGAAGATATTTGGCCGCACCAACAAAGCCTCTCCATCTTGCTCTATCCTCTGCATCCTCCTCAGTTGCTCCTAGTTGCTCAATGTCTTTCTTTACTTGGCTCCATCATTTTTGTTTTGGCCTTCCTCTCGGTCGTCTTCCTTCGGGATTTCTTAGTAAAACTAATTTTAACTTATTTTGCTCCTCTCTTCGTAAAACATGTCCAGCCCATCTAACTCTTCTACACTTAAATTCACACACCACATCTGGATCTCTGTAGAGTTCTCTCAGTTCTCTGTTGTGTCTCTTCCTCCATTCACCACCTTCATAAATTGGTCCATAAATTTTTCTTAAAATCTTATTTTCGAATGTGATTAACTTCTTTTCTTCTTTTTTATTTGGTTTCCATGTTTCAGCTCCGTATAATAATACTGGGCTGATTATTGTCTTATAAATTCTAACTTTGGTGTTTTTAGACAGTAACTTAGAGGACATCAGTCTGTTGCAAGCGTAGAAACATCTGTTTGCCAGATTTAGTCTATTTTGAATTTCTATTTCTTCTTTGTTTTCCCTGGATAAGATAACCCCTAAGTACTTAAAATGTTCTACTTTTTCAAATGTATGGTCATCTACCTGCAGTGGGTCTTGGGCTATACCTTGATTTCTTGAAAATTGCATATATTTGGTTTTCCCATCATTTACTTTTAATCCTAATTGTCCTGTTTTGTCCATAAATATTTTTGTTAGTTGGCGTAGGTCCTCTAAAGTTTCTGCAAAAATGACGACATCGTCTGCAAACGCTAATATGTTAATTCTGGAGCCAATTGAAATTCCCTTATCTATTGTTGTCACTTCTTGTAGAGCTTCTTCTATTGCTAAGTTGAAGAGGATTGGGGAGACCCCATCCCCTTGCCTTACCCCTGCATTTACTGTAAAGGGCTCCGAGACTCTCCCGTTTACTTTGACTGAACATGTGGAATTTGCTACAGTTGTTCTAGCAAGGTTTATAAGTTTGGTTGGGATTCCAAATTTGTCCATCTTTTTCCACAGTTTCTCTCTATTTATGCTATCATACGCTTTTTGGAAATCAATAAATATTGCAAAAAACTCCCTATTATACTCCCAGTACTTCGATATGACTTCTTTAAGGATAAATATTTGATTCATTGTGGACCTGCCTTTCATGAAACCAGCCTGATGATCTAGGATTAGTTCATTTGTATATTCTTCGATCCGATTTAATACTATCTTTGATAAAACTTTGTACGGTATGCTAAGGAGTGATATGCCTCTAAAATTACTACATTCTTCTTTCTCTCCTTTCTTGTGAATGGGGACTACTATTGCTTCCCTCCATTCTTCTGGAATTTCTTCTCTCTCCCAGATTATTTTAATCAGTTCCCAAAGCTTTCCTATTACTACTCCCCCTCCCTTCTTCAGTATTTCTGCTGCTATCCCATCTCTGCCCGGGGCTTTATTGCTCTTCAGAGCTTTGACTGCTGCTTCGACTTCTTCTCTGGTTGGTGCCTCAACCTTTGGTTGAACGTGATAGTATACGTCATCGTTATCTTCTTCTGGTGCAAAGTCCACACCATCTACATTTAGTAAGTCGCAGAAATATTCTCTCCATCATTCTAAAACCTGTTGGGTTTCTGTAACAACAATGCCTTCTTTGTTTTTCACTCCATAAGGGTTTGGAGTGTAACCTTTTTTGAAAAACCTTACTTTTTTGTAAAAATCTCTTGCATTATTTGCTGTGCTCTCTTCTTCTGCTTTTTCAATCAGACTATTTATGTACCTTCTTTTCTTCTGTCTCAATATTCTGTTTGTTTCTCTACTTATTTCATTGTATTGTTGTTTATCTTCTGTGGACTGGCTGCACAACCATGCCCTTTTCTTCTCCTTTCGCTCTATTACCTTTGTTTCACATTCCTCATCAAACCAGGGTTTTTTGTTGGTTCTTTTCTTTTTCCCACACACTTCTTTCGCTGTTTTTATTATGCTTTCCTTAAACACACTCCAGTTTTTATTTACATCCTCTTCTACTTGGAGGTTTTGTAAAGCTTGGAATCTGTTTTCTAGTTTCAGCTTGAATTCTCTTGTTACCTGTTTGTCTTCTAGCTTTTCTGTGTCAATATGTAAATTATATATTTCTTCCTTTCTTTTATGTATTGCGATTCTTTGGGCTACCTTAACTAACATTAAAGAGTGATCTGTTCCGCATTCTGCTCCCCTTATACTTTTTATATCTGTTATGCTACTTTTGTGACGTTGGTCTACTAGGACATGGTCTATTTGATTTCTAGTGGTTCCATTAGGGGATGTCCATGTGTACTTGTGTATATCTTTCCTAGGGAACATAGAACATAGTACATACTACCTAGGTACTTAAGAAATAAAATTATAAACGTCCAAAAACCTAACGTTGTGTGATTTTTGTCACATCTCCTTATAATGTTAATATATATACCAGCAACCATTGTTTAGAGAACACGTAATCTATTAAATAACAGAAAGTTATGTTGTATAAGGTTTTTTTTTCAAACTGACACCGATAAGTTTACATTAAGAGTTGTGTACAAATAAAGCAATTAATGGGAAATAACTTTGATTGCCGATAACTTTTTATGAGAAAATCCAAAACCAAGAGATCAATAACCTTGATTAACGCATATAATTGGTCGGCTGTACTACAGTTCTTAACTGTAAACGTTGGTTTTTGGTACGGTACTGGTTCTTTTCCTTTTAACCTTTAGTAGCAGCAAGAATCATTTTTACGTACCAACACATCAAAGTAATTTACAAATTAGTTATCGTTGGTGTTGCACCTTATTTATTACAGGCGTAGGCCTATTCAATTTAATTGATGTCTTAACTGTATAATTTTTGCTTTTTCTGTCTGGATTCCAAAATGTTATGCTAAGAAAACTATAACGCATTTTAGTAAAACATTTATTCAGCAAACCATCATGAATTGTTCAAACACTTTGAACGTTGTTTATGTATCAATAGTTCATGGCCTATTTTGGTAATTTTTATTACAAATTACCAATCTAAATCGTCTATAGTAGGCCTACTGTACTTCATTTCATATAGCAAACCGATTCAGATAGCATTTCGACAGAATTTCGAGTCATCTCCGGTCCAAGCAAATATAAATTGTTATGATCAAATTTTATGGCATTAACAAAGATTTCAAGTACTAATTTTATATGTACCTTTTTATGCTTAAAGCGTAGCAGATTCCCTAATTAAGTTTGGTATTTTTGTGTGTATGTATGATGGTAACGCATTAATGTCCTTGTTTCTCAATGTTTCACGGAAAGGACAAGAGCGCCTTGATAATGAAAATGTCAACCCGAATAAAGTGTTAAATTAAGAGGTTGAGGTAGTACCTTAAATACTTTTAACCATTATGTTATAGTCCTTTAAATTCTGAACAAAATTGTACAAATCCCATTTCCGTATATTTACTCTCACCGCTTACACATGATAAAGGTTGTTGACAAACTTATGGGAGAAAGTATGTGTCAGAATGCTGATACCGTTTATTTAGTTTAATCATTGGATATAACTTATGGACCAACAAGATCCGGGTGACATTTAATTGCGAAGCATTAGTTTTGGCTTGAAACTGTCAGATACTGTATTTGCGAAGGAATAGTTTTGTCAGCATATCTGAAAGTATGCAAACCAACTGCTGTGCTTTATATAAGTAGGTTTTAACTGACTATGATAAGATCCCCGTGCGTAGAACGGGCACACAGCTAGTTTATCTCTAAAAATCTACTAATTGATCTTACACAACTTTTTCAAAAATTTTAGAAAAATTTGATAGTAGTGAAACTGGACGATAATTGATAATTAATTAATTGATAATTAATTAATTGATAATTGATCGACAAGTTTGGAGTTAATCTACAGCAGTTGACAATAGAAAAATAATTGTTGAAAACTTTATTACCGCAAAGTCCATCTCCAGAAGATCAAGTATGATTTCTAAGGCTATCGTCAATCTTCTCAGATATTTAGGGTTGTTTGCATCTTCAATATCTTGCTGGCCTTGAGATAAATTAGTAAATAGGTCTTCGATGGTTTCTATCACCTGGAAGTAAAATTTACATTGAACAAAACGCTTTTTTGGTATTTTATGATTGCTTGGTAATAAATAGCCTACTGAACAAGCAACAGTTTAATTCAATCATTCTATTTGGTATGTTCGGAAAGAAAGTTTTCCCTTGGCAACGCTGTAATCGTAGCATTACCCATGCACTGCAACTGTAAGTTGAGACGGATAAACTTACACCACTATAAAACTCGCTGTTGTGTGTAGTCTACACATTTTGTAGCATGCAAAATAAGAATTCTGCCAATTTTGAATCTAGCCTATAAGTTTGTTTAGTGTGAGTAAATTTGAAATTTGAACCAGTTAACATTTATCGATAAATCTGTGAAGTTGGTTTTAAAGAAGTTGCCATCATGACTGCCCAGGGTAAAGATCATGTCAATCAGGATGGCTAGTAGTGAGGGACATGGGGAAGACTCCCAACAACTCTAATATGTCCCAGGATGCTTGGATCTAGCCCTGAACTGTTTTTCACATTGGCTCAGGGTATTCCTCGAAGCTTGTAGCAATATCACAAAGATCCATTAGTGATTGGCAGGATTTGAACCTGAGACCTCGGGGACCGAAGCTCTTGTCACAAGACCAGCTCGTCCCCTGCGATGGTCATATCACAAGATGCTAGAGTGGTATTAAATTAATCCAACCGCAATTAATAGTTCACATTTCTGTACAAAATAATAAAAAACACCTATGGGAGAAGGGTTTTTGCGTGCATCCTGCTTGCCAATCGAAAAAAATAAAAAATCTATAGGTAGCTACAAATCTACTTGTAGAAAAATAATTAACTCTACAGTAAGAAAATTAAGCAGAAACATATATATAAGATTAGGTACTATAATGGAAATATGTTACCTCTTGTTCTTCTTCATCAATAAGTGGCTGATGGTTAATGAATCTTTCTTCCAACACTTCGTAATTCAAATTCTGTTCATTATTGTCTGTGCTATCCGCCTCACTTGGGTTGTTTTCCTCATTGATCTTCATTTCATTTATCTGCGGTTTCAAAATATTTTCCATCTGATCCATGATGTATGTCAAAACTCCAGAATCTGTTAGTTTTGTTTGGAACTGTAAATTAAAAATTTTACTGCAGGGATTTTGTAATAGAAAGGGTTCAAAAAATATTTACTCCCATTACAGATTTATGTGACAAAATAAAATTTTTAGTTGTATGAATGAATTCTGATTAGGAATTATAAAATTGCTTTGATGTCTACACTTAATATGAATCGATAAATTGTCTAGATACCTACCAGTTACTTAACTAATTTTAGAAATAAATCTTTTTCATAAATTCTGAAGACAAAGCCCTACTCAAAAGTTTCACTGACTGAAACCATACAACTTGATTGCATCCTGTTATTTTATGTATTTTTATACAAAGCTCACTATTCAAAATCTAATTTAAAAAACAACACCTTGAGATACCATAGACCTAGATACAAATTTCCATCAAAATCAGACAACAGTAGGGTGTACAGTATAGCTTTGTATGCATCCACATATATTACTTTTTTGCGTTCAGTTTAGGGGCACCAAAAATTGATATTTTCAACCAAAACGGAAATTTTGACAAATACCAAACGCTATGTATATGAGTAAGTTCAAAGAAAACACGAGTGCTTGAGATAAGAGTAGATATAATTGAAGCCACTTACAAAGCTCTCACGGCGGTATTTTCTGTCTAACAACTCCAAGTAGAATTCATGCATATAGTCGGTACACGCGGGATGCATGAACCAATGGGTGACCAGGATTGTTTTGACCTGCCACAGTAAGTCTTCATTGGGACCATTCTGAAAAGATCAACATCACACATGGTTTAGCTGTCAAGAAAAAGTGAGTGTGAATGTCGCTCTGAGGCACACAATGTTGTGTATTTTAAGGTTAAGATGATTATGAACGAATAAGATGGTTGCTTTGTTACTGACCAAGATCTGCTGAAGATTGACTTTATTAGACCTTATTTAGACTTTATTTGACTTTATTTAGATTGACTTTAACTGTGATTTTAAATCACAATGATTAAACACAGCTGGGTCTAGTTTCAATCTTAAAATATCTACTAACTGAGGGTCAAACCAGCTACTTTCTCATCACTTGGCTAGCACTATACGGTAATCACTGAGTTAATGCAACTTAATTTAATTCCACCAACTTTGTTTGTAATTTATCCTTTTTTAGAATCATTAATATATTATTTTAATTCTATGTCACAAGTTGTAAAATGGCATTAATTTGAGTCAAAATTTATATGGAGTGTTGGAATTATCTCAACACTTTTGAATGTGTTCAGATAAAGGTTCACAACAAGGAAATGCTTCATCAATATTAATGACTTAGTTTAAGTATATATATGTTTGACAGAAATCAGTAATTAAAATCAACTCAATCTGTCGGTGGATCAATTCTTCTACGTCCATTTTGAATTAAGAAACGGTGACAGCTTTAACACGAGGATGGAATGTCTAGTTTTGCCATTAGTTTCACATTCCTAGACGACAAAACCAGTTTAATCTTAATTTCCGTCTATCTAGGTGTCACTAGTAAGGTTGTCATTATTTCCCATTCCAAACTAATTTTCAATGGGTTGTGTACTGTCAAGGTTTATTTCTATGACAAAAACTTACCAAGATGTAGTCAAACAGCATTCTTATCATATCTCCCCTAAGGTGTTGTTCTCCATTCAAAATCATGGAGACGGCAGGCAGTATATCGTAATGCCAATCCGGAAAAGGGCAATCAAAGATATTGAACACATGTCCGTACTGGTAACTGTTTATTTCTTTGGGTTGTGTGTCCTGCAACGAAATTGTACAACATTTTTCATCCAAGTTCACAGTTTAGAGTATATTTGGAAATAAAAAAGGTGCATTAGCTTTTTTGTGGAGTTCGTGATTTACAGAGAAAGTATTTTCTAAAACGCTATGAAGAGTTTGCTGTGCTTAGCTGCAGTAATTAGCACAATGTATACTTCAGAAAAATATCATTAACCTTACATCAATATTATCAATTAACATTAGAAACTTTTCCGTTACTTTACTACCACTAAATGACTTAATTCCCCTATCATATAAAATTGATGTTTAAAATTAGGTCTATATCTCGGTTCTAACTTCAACTTCACCTTATCCAATCCAACCTAAAATAACCTCCTGAACAAGATTTGTAGGTAATTGCAAGATTTTTACTTGAAAAACATAGTGGTAGCATATTACTTCATCTATGGTGGTAGTGAGGTTAATGAAGTACTGTAGCCAATTCTAAAACAATAGACTTACCTTGTGCAGAGCTTTGCATTTTTCAAGGTCAAGGCATTCTGGTAGCCTGACAAACCCCAGTTTATAAGTTTTGCAGAAATCATTGTGAAACTGACTGTAAGCAATATCCAGGAAGGACGACGCTGATACCTGTTTCCTCTGACAATTCTCGGGTTGTTTATCAGTGGAGAGAGAATTAGACTCAACATTGACCATACTTGATGAAGATATCCTGTTTTTACTGTCTGATTGGTCATTATCTGTTTCTTTTGACGAGGGACCTTCCTTTATATCAGAGGTTTGTTTTGGAGTGTTTATGCTATCAATAATAACAGAATCATTTAACGAAGAATGGAGTAATGAAAATGATGGTTCATTTCCATTCAATTGTATCAAATCATCAACGTTTTTAGGCCTACCTACTTTTCTTGGGGTTCCAGACATTGCTGGTGGTTTATCAGTGGTAAGAGGAAAAGACTTGAGTTTAACCATACTTGCACTTTTATCTGAATTCACTTGATCTGTTTCTTTTGATAAAGGATCTCTTTTCACATTGGAGGTTCGATTTGGAGTGTTTATGCTCTCAGCAATAACAGAACCGTTTATCGAAGAACGTATTAATGAAGTTGATTTTTCACTTACATTCAATTGTGTTACCATTTTGACCATACTTATCTTTTTAGGCCTACCCCTTTTCTTTGGTGATTTATCAACAGACTTTGTACTTTCTTCATCCAAGTTTGCAAGTTTACAATTAGCAGGTAATAAAGCCACATTACACTGGCCATTTTTTGTAATTGGTAGTCTGTTTGAATCATCGATTCTACGTAGTGAAACTAAGCAAAGTCTTGTATCAGTAACATTAGCTATTTTTGCCTTACTGTTTATATTGGAGTTTTCTTCAACTTTTTGAAATTTTACACAGTTGTTATTTTCTGATTTGTTTTTCCTTTTAAAACCTAGAGTTACATTTGGTAAATTTCTTTCATTTTCATTAACTTGGTGCTTGGTATCAAGGCAGGTTTTGGAAGCAGAAAAGTAGCGGTCTAGATTATTTTTTTGAGGCAGTTTTTCTTTTTTTCTTTTGGGGTTTTTTGTTGATTGTGACATTGTTTAAATAAATAGGTAACGTTGATCTAGCCGAGAAATCAATCTGGAACAGAATAAAAATTAATTTGAATATGATCAGATATTAGAACCAATATCAGAACTTAGCCTAAGTTATTTTGTTTTCATAACTATTCAAATACCGCTATGTAATAAATTTAGGCATTAGTTTGGATTTGTTTCTATGTTCTTGTGTTCATATTAATTTGTATTCAATGCTTGTTTTATATTCAATTTTTATCTCTGTTATTTGTCTAGGCCCTACATAATTTGTCGTCTCATCTTTTGGCCACCCAAAACATATGCTTAAAATGTAAAATGGTGTAGGAAAAAAAGAATGTTAGCCTAAGTTAATAAGTTAGGAATTTTTCATCATACCATCGCACTGAACTATTGTTCAAATACTCTCGCCTGTGATAGAAACTAGCCATTACCAGATGGGTCGTGAAAACTGTAGGGCCTAATGGTAAAACTAAAGTTAAAAATAGTAATAAACGGTATCAGCAATCTGAAACACTTTCTCCCATTAGCTTGTCAACAAACTTTATCATTGGTTAGCGATGAGAATAACTTTAATAACTCTAATTATGATATTTAATATGTAAAATCACAAAAGTTTCATTAGCTTTTGAACCGTAATTTTTACAGGAATGGGGGGTTGCAATATTTTGTTTAGAATTATAAGGACCATAACAAATTTAACAAACAAATTTAAACCAAAATCGGCGTTTTTTCCAAAAAAACCTTTTTCCCGTTTTTTATGGGAAAATATGCCACAATAACTTTTGAAGCCCAATTTTTACAACAATGGGGGGTCGTAATTTGCTGTTAAGAATTATAAGGATTATCACAATATACTAATTTCAATCAAAAACCGGTTTTTTTTAAATACGATTTTCTCTTATTTTAAGTTAAGTATGGGTTTTTATGGGAAAATAACATAATTTACAATAACGATTGAATCGTAATTCTTATGGAAATGGGAGTTGTACCATTTTGTTCAAAATCGTTCGGGCCATTTTTAAGAAAATCCGATTTTTGCTTATTTGATGGGTTTTGTGGAAAAATCAACAAATCAACGTTTTAAAAAAATGTAATAATTGCCTGGAGATACCATGGATTAGTACCTTACCTACATACCAAATTTCATCAAAATCTGACTATTAAAAAAAAGAAAAAAAAACTAGTAGGACAGGTGTGGTCTGTAGCTCTGTACACATCCAGACATACAGACACACACACACAGAAATCACTTTGAAAGCCACTTTTTTGGTTCAGGGAGACCCAAAATGGATATATCCACTCAAACTCAAAAAATTTACGAAAACAATACTTTCTCCATATACTAATGTATAGGGGGAGGAAGTAAAATACCCCCGCCGCAGCAAACCTGCAGACTTAGCGAATTTCCATTTGCCTCATTGGATTTACACTAAAATGTCTCCTTAAATAGGCTATATCACATTTATTCCCTACTTCAATAGAATTAGTTTAACGAGTAGGCCTACTTAGGTTTGCTGCAACAGGGAGGGTAAAAAAAAGTTTTTTAATGTAAAATGTTAATAGGTGCTTTAGTTTAGTAAGAAATTATAGTATTTTCCAAATTTGATAAAAATATATTCATAAATAAGCAAACTACAACAGTTGACTTATTCTCCATAAGAATAACATGGGAATTTTAAAATTACAATTTTTTTTAATTTTCCGTAACCCTTAGGCGCATTTAACGCTTCAATATACTAAATTATTTGTTTCTCTAAGCTCTACATAATGGTTTTGAAAGTAATTGTGGAATTTTGTGTTTTTAGGGTCAAAAATGGGAAAACCCTATTTTTACCCCATAAAACCCCCCATAAACCCCCGTACCCATAGTCCGATCAAGCTGGTTCGCGAACTCATTCAAGTTTATCCTGCTTTACACCTTTAAACCAAATTTCATCAAAATCGGACAAAAATTACTCAAGTTATCGCGTTCAAGGACACATAACTTATATATAAATCTATACATATGTATATATATATACATATTAATAAATAATACACCATAGTACCCTTTTTTAATTTTTTTTTTTTTTTTTACATATGATGAAAAGTAGGCCTACCGGTACCATTCGTGACTCATCCGAAATGACTGTTACCGGACACTCGACCAGAATAGGCCTACTTATTAGGCCTACCTATATCAGGATTCCACTTGTACGGTAAGTTAAAGGTATTTTGCCTCAAGTTAACTTAGCCTATACCCTTGTTTGTTTGGTTATTGTTGATTTGAACAGCTATATTCAGTACAGTAGAGTCCCGCAAACTCAGCGTAATGTGGACTGGAAGGGTGCCGAGTTTGTGAAATGCCGGGTTATCAGGAACTAGGGTTAAAAATAAGAACAATAACATTTTTAAGCTTTTTAACTGCCTTTTTTATTTATATTTAGGCTATATTACACGTCAGTATTAAGTCATCAGATATAGTACAACAAACCCTTGGTATGAGTTGCGAATGATTTGACTTGAGCTGGCTTGAGTCCATGTTTAACTCAGACTCAAAAAATCACTAATTTTCTGAGCCAGATGATGGCCGAGTTATCCAGACTGCCGGGTTATCGAGTGCCGAGTTTGCGGGATTCTACTGTACCTACCTAATATTTCCTTTGCTGTGAAAAATAATGGTAGTCTATATTTGAATTCAGGAGGTAAAAAACTATAAATTAAGATGTCGAAATAAAAAATTTGTTTGGAGAAGGTACCTATAAGTTACCTACTAATATTAGGCCTATCCTTCATTTTTTAGCGAATTACAGAAAAAGATAGGCTAGGGTTGCCATATTCCCGGTTTTCCCCAGATATTACTTAGGCTACTGGATTTTGATGTTCAAAATTTAGCTCTTGTGGATTTCTGCAAATAGTGAGAAATCTCCTTTTTTACTCTCTATTAAAATACATTGTAAACGGCACTTTTGGAATAAAATAGGCCTAAATGTTTGTGTTTGGAAATATTGTTAGGCCTACATTTATGCAATGACTGAAAAATGCAACGCTAACTTAGTAGGCTATTCTACTAACTTAAAGTTTTTTTTTATTCCTTGTTAGTTTCACTTTGGCCAGCAGCGTCCTTAGTTTAGGTAGGCCCTATCATTTCTTCCATTAATCCCAGTCCTTTAAATCGTGTCTGCCGGACAGTCTGAAGTCCAAAAGTAACTTATCCGTGTTCAATACCAAAGCCGAACCAAGTCTAGCAGACAGAGAACTTTTGTTTACATTAGTCGTTAATTTTAGTGGGATGTGACAAGCAAGATGCATATTTTAGCCTATGGTTTCGCGTACCATAATTTGAATACTGACATTGTAGCACGCATATTGAACATAGGCCTAGGCCCTACACAGTATGGATTAATAGACAGAAACAAATTACGTAACTGGCCCCAATGTCAATTAATACTGTAGGCCTAGGCTATTAATAGCCGTAACAACTGGTTTGGACGTTTTTTGACAGTTGGACATATTTTTTTTATGACCCCACCCATACCATTTCTGTTATAGTATTTGTGCTATATAGGTATATCGACCTATATAAAACTTGTCCTTCACAATCAAGCTAACAATTTTGCTAGCCCGTAAACTTTTATTTAGGCCTACTGAAGTAGGAGCCGCCAGCTAAAATCAGTTTTACAAATTTTACCACATGACAACCCTACCTTAAGCTCAAGATCGATCAGCCATCAATCACCAACCAAACAATAAACGCATAGGGCCTACAATGAAAAACTTAAACAACAAACATGCCCTTTTTACTATAGAGTAGGCAGGAACTTTTCCCGGAGGCCTCTAGTATAGGCCTAACTTAAGTTACATCTGGTTAACTAGCCTAAGCCTAGGTTAAAATATTTCTCTAGTACAGTAGCCTCGGCCTAGTGCAATTAAGTTACCTGGTTGGTAACTGTGTGTTGTTTTCTAGTAATCGTGAATACCTGTTAACACTCCACATAAAATTGAAAACAAGAAGGATCATTGAACCACCACACAGCATCCACAGGACAGAACACAGAACAAAAACTTACTAGGAAACAGAGACAGACAAAGACAACAGAGAACAGACAACGCAACGAGACAACAGAGGAGAGATTGGAGATTGGAGTATTTGGATTGGAGGGAGACCGAGAACAAACAAATTTTTTCCTATTGCCGAATTGGTGGTCTGGTTTTTTTTACCCATGAGATCTCAATGTTCTCTGTGGTTGTCCATTAGAAAACGTACCTTTTCCTACAGTCACCCGACAAAGTTGGCTTCCTTGTACTGTTTATAGTACAGAAAGCTGCTAATTGCTGCATATTTATACTTTGCCGTACGGTTTATACTTTGCCGCACATCAGGATTCCAACGAAACAACACAAAACAGCGTGGTTCTAACGACCGTGAAGACAGCTATCGCCAGCTGTCGACCCTACATTTTTTCCCCTCCCACAACGACTTCCCCACGACCGTGAAGACAGCTATCGCCAGCTGTCGACCCTACATTTTTTCCCCTCCCACAACGACTTCCCCTCTTCTCCCTCTCGACCAATCAGATACCGCCTAGCTTAGAGTAGTACAGTCGATGTTAAAAAAAAGACCTCGCATATGCAACTACCTACTACGGATAATTTACAGATTTCCAAACCAAAACTAATTCGCTATACTTATTTATTAAGTAGTGAATATACTTAAATAATATATGTATTACGACAAAGTATACTAGTGGAAAATTATATAGTTATTTACTTTTATCGCATTATACATATATTACCTAAATAATGTATAGACTCATTTCTACCTAAAGCTACTGTTTAAAATATAAAAGTAACTATAAAAACTCAGTATAAATAAATTTTTTATTTCAAAATGTCAATATACACTATATTATTATATATTATAATTAATATACATCTATAGATGTATATTAATTATATACATTATATAATTATATTAATTATATACATTAATTATATACATATACAGGTAGGTATATATGTAAACTTAAATTGTAACAATGTAAATTGTAACCTAAAAGTGTACATATGTTATAACAAAATAAAAAGTGGTGGAAAATAGGTCAAAGTTCCCCTAATCTCTTCCATACCGCTTATGCTGAAAAATCCAGCCAACCTTCGACGGGTAATAGAATTATGTTCCTTAAAAATTCCCAAACTTTTTATTGCTGAAATTAGTTAAAGTACATGTAACCTTAAGGTGGACATATGTGATAAGACAATAAAAGTGGTGGAAAATAGGTTAAAGTTCTCCTAACCATTTCCATACCGCGTACGCTGAAAAATCCAGTCAACTTTCGACGGGTTATAAAATTATGTTCCTTACCAATTCCCAAACTTTTTATTGCTGAAATTAGTTGGGTTACATGTAATCTAAAAGTGTACACATGTTATAACAAAATAAAAGTGGTGGAAAATAGGTTAAAGTTACCCTAACCATTTCCATACCGCGTACGCTGAAAAATCTAGTCAACTTTCGACGGATAATAAAATTATGTTCCTTATCATTTCCCAAACTTTTTATTGCTGAAATTAGTTGAGGTACATGTAACCTAAAAGTGTACATATGTTATAGCAAAATAAAAGTGGTGGAAAATAGGTTAAAGTTCCCCTAACCATTTTTCGTACCATTCAATCTGTAGAACTCACTCAACTTTCGACGGAAATAAAAATTATGTTCCTTATCACTTCCCAAACTTTTTATTGCTGAAATTAGTAGAGGTACATGTAACCTTAAAGTGGACATATGTTATAACAAAATAAAAGTGGTGGAAAATAGGTTAAAGTTACCCTAACCATTTCCATACCGCGTACGCTGAAAAATCTAGTCAACTTTCGACGGATAATAAAATTATGTTCCTTATCATTTCCCAAACTTTTTATTGCTGAAATTAGTTGAGGTACATGTAACCTAAAAGTGTACATATGTTATAGCAAAATAAAAGTGGTGGAAAATAGGTTAAAGTTCCCCTAACCATTTTTCGTACCATTCAATCTGTAGAACTCACTCAACTTTCGACGGAAATAAAAATTATGTTCCTTATCACTTCCCAAACTTTTTATTGCTGAAATTAGTAGAGGTACATGTAACCTTAAAGTGGACATATGTTAAAAGAAAATAAAAGTGGTGGAAAATAGGTTAAAGTTACCCTAACCATTTCCATACTGCGTACGCTGAAAAATCCAGTAAATTTTCGACAGATAATAAAATTATGTTCCTTATCAATTCCCAAACTTTTTATTGCTGAAATTAGTATAGGTACATGTAACCTAAAAGTGTACATATGTTATAACAAAATAAAAGTGGTGGAAAATAGGTTAAAGCTACCCTAACCATTTCCATACCGCGTACGCTGAAAAATCTAGTCAACTTTCGACGGATAATAAAATTATGTTCCTTATCAATTCCCAAACTTTTTATTGCTGAAATTAGTTGAAGTACATGTAACCTAAAAGTGTACATATGTTATAACAAAATAAAAGTGGTGGAAAATAGGTTAAAGTTACCCTAATCATTTATATACCGCTCACTCTGGAAAAACGAGAAAACTTTCGACGGATAATAAAATTATGTTACATATCAATTCCCAAACTTTTTATTGCTGAAATTACTAGAGGTACATGTAACCTTAAAGTGGACATATGTTAAAAGAAGATAAAATTGGTGGAAAATAGGTTAAAGTTCACCTAATCATTTCCATACCGCGTACGCTGAAAAATCCAGTCAACTTTCGACGGATAATAAAATTATGTTCCTTATCAATTCCCAAACTTGTTATTGCTGAAATTAGTTGAGTTACATGTAATCTAAAATTATACATATGTTATAACAAAATAAAAGTGGTGGAAAATAGGTTAAAGTTACCCTAATAATTTATATACCGCGTACGCTGAGAAATCCAGTCAACTTCCGACGGATAATAATATTATGTTCCTTATCAATTCCCAAACTTTTTATTGCTGAAATTAGTTGAGGTACATGTAACCTAAAAGTGTACATATGTTATAGCAAAATAAAAGTGGTGGAAAATAGGTTAAAGTTCCCCTAACCATTTTTCGTACCATTCAATCTGTAGAACTCACTCAACTTTCGACGGAAATAAAAATTATGTTCCTTATCACTTCCCAAACTTTTTATTGCTGAAATTAGTAGAGGTACATGTAACCTTAAAGTGGACATATGTTAAAAGAAAATAAAAGTGGTGGAAAATAGGTTAAAGTTACCCTAACCATTTCCATACTGCGTACGCTGAAAAATCCAGTAAATTTTCGACAGATAGACATAGACATAGACATATTTTATTTGCACATAACATTCTTTACATGTGTTACATACAGAATAGGTGCATTGTCAGAGTTTGAATTGTCAGAATATAAAAAATAAAATAGTAATCAAGATGATAATATAATTAACAAAATTGAATGATAAAACTATTCTAAACTAAAGGGGCATTGTGAAAATCTGCAATTAAATAAAAGGCTCTGTCAATTAAGAGTTCACCTATTTTATCTTTAAAATTATTTTCATTTAGCAATTTATAGTTTGCAGGCAGCACATTGTACAGCCTCAGCCCAGCATATAGTGGACTTTTTTCATAAAGGGTCAAATGGTGCCTTGGAAATCTAAAAATGTTTTCATTTCGAGTATTATATCTATGGTTGATTTGAATTGATTCTGGGAGGTCGTTTTTAGCTGAATGAATGTAGTTTAGTGATTCCAAGATGTACAGTCCTGTTAGGGTGTGGATTTTTAAATTTCGAAAAAGGTTTTTGCATGAACTACGTGGATGAGAGCTGGTCATAATACGGATAATGCGTTTTTGTAGCCTGAATATTGATTTGACTCCGGTAGCCTGACCCCATAAGATTATACCATACCTCAATACTGATTCTACATAAGCATGATAAACCATTTTCAGAGTTTCTTTAGGAACACAGTCCCTTAAGTGCAGAAATACAATTGACATGGACCTAAGTTTACTTTTTAATTGATTCAGATGTACATCCCATTTAAGTGATTCGTCTATGTAAACACCTAGAAATTTATGAGACGTTGCCAATTTAAGGGATTCAATTTTATTACCATTGTTTCTGACAGAAAATTTTATTGTTTGCGTTTTTTCAAGATTAAGTTTTAATCCATTGTTCAAGAACCAACCTTCCATGTCATGAACCACATTTTCAAGAGAAGATAGCATTTCAGAAGTACTATTATTTTTTATCAAGGCTGTTGTATCATCTGCAAAAAGAATTAGTTCCTGATCAATAGCTTTAGGGAGGTCATTAATGTAAATTAGAAAGAATAGAGGACCTAAGATTGAACCTTGGGGCACACCTGCCGATAGGTTTTCCCATGGCGAATAGTACTTGATCTTATCCAGTGTTATTACAGTTCTTTGTTTTCTATTAGAAAGGTAAGAACTCAATAGAGAGTGACAACTTCCCCTAATACCATAATCACTCAGCTTGAGCTGAAGGACTGAGTGATCAACACAGTCAAAAGCTTTGGACAGGTCACAGAAAACACCAGCTGTAGCCTGAGACCCGTCCAAAGCCTGGGTAACCTCATTTATAAACTGTGTTAGTGCAGAACCTGTGCTTAAATTTTTCCTGAATCCAAATTGTTTGTTATAAAATAGATGATTGCTTTCAAAATAACTAACCAATCTCAAATTTATGACCTTCTCAAATATTTTAGAAAAATTACTCAATACAGAAATTGGACGGTAATTGTTAATATCCGATTTTAGGCCCTTTTTAAATATTGGTGAGATTTGGGAAAGTTTTAGTTTATCCGGAAAAATTCCATGTATTAAACACTGGTTAATAATTTGAGATAAAGGTTCAGCAATGATATTAACAGTGGCTTTTATCAATTTAATTGGGATCTCATCCCAGCCAACGGATGATTTGTTTTTTAGTGACAGAACAATCTTTTTGATTTCCTCCACATTAGTTAGCCTGAGGCTGCACAATGATATCCCATTATCATTACAGATATGTTTCACTGAAGCATGGACTCCATTGACAGTAGCCTTTTGAACATTTAAGTT